ATCGTTAAGAAATGTTAGGTAGACAGTGAACAGGGCCCCAGAGAGCTCGTAAATTGACTTTGCTGCGGTCACTTCTCACTAGCCCAGTGAGGCACCAGGTGCCCTAGGGCCCCCGGCTCTTGTCCCTCCCCTGCGCACTGTGGAAGCTCTGGGGCTTTGGGCTAGCTGCCCCAGGCTTAAGCCAGGCTCTGTGGCCCCTGTTTGTGGGACTGGGACAGGTGATTCTCCACATCTGCCTGTGATGGGCCCTTTGCAGGGGTCACTGAAGGTCCCTGAGGTCACACATGCTGGCCACCTGGCGTGTAGAAGGTGCCTAGTATATGTGTTCATTCCCATTTCTGCTCCTACTCCTCACCTTCTAGGCTGCGGTCCATCACCATGAGCGTGACCGGGGTCAGTCTACCAGGCAGGCGCTTATTCTACCGAGCTAGCTCCCAGCCCTCTGGGTCAGTCTAGGCAGTAGCACAGGCCCTCCTGCCCAGGCTGGGGCTGGGGTGGCGGAGAAAGGGGCATAACAGTCCTTGACCCAGGGGAGCTCAGGGTTGGGCAGGAGTCGGGTGGGGACACTGCTGACTCCAAGGTGGCATGTGGCCTTCTCCATCCCATCATTGACTCTTGGTCTCCTCCCAGGGAGACCCTTTCCCTGCATCTCCCAGAGTTCACCTCTTCTCTGAAGTCTTCCTTTGTCCTCAGGGGACACCTCTTGTCTGTGAAGAGCTTCCCCTCACCTCCTTAGGCCCCTTAGCTGCTTCTATCCCAACTGTGATTTATGTCCATGATTGTCTCCCAAGCACTTGCTGCAGGCTCTGTGTATCCATCTCTTTGTCTTCCCCAGCATAGAGGAGTGGCTTGGCGCGCCTCTACCCACCCTACCATTTACCCTCCACTTGCCACCGTCTACTCACTGGCCCATCCATCTACCTGCCCGTCCATCCATCCACATCCATCATCAATCTATCCAGTTATCCATCCATTCCCCATCCATCGATCATCCATCTATCCATTCATCAATCTGTCTATTACCCATCCATCCAATCCATCTAACCCATCCATCCATCCAATCCATCCATTCATCCATCTTTCTTTTTTAAAAAATATTTTAAAAATTTATTTACTTATTTCATATAGCGTCTATCTATGCAGCTTAGACTCGTAGTGATCTTCCTGTCTCAGCCTCCCCAGTGCTGGGATTACAGGTGTGCACCACCATCCCTGGTTTTGGTGGCCGGCATGGTGCAGGGCTGGCATGGTACATAGTGCCAGGGATCGGACCCGGGTCCTTGTGATTGCCAGGCAGGCACTTAGATCGCTGAGCTACCTCCCTAGACCCCATCTTCTTTCTTTCTCCCTTCTTTCTCTTCTTCTACCACTCAAACATCCACGCATCCAAACAACAAGCATTCGCTTAGCATCTCTGTCCTCTGGGGTGCGGGTATCTGAGACATAAGAATGAAGGCAGCAAGGACTTCATTCAGTAGTCGCTATTGAACATCTACTCCATGCCAGGGTGGGTTCAGCACCCAATGTTTAGGGCAAATGAGTAGCTCTATTTATTTTTCATTCTTTTTTAGTACCGGGAATTGAACTCAGGACCTTGTGCTTGCCAGGCAGGTGCTTATGCCGCGGAGCTATCTCCCCGGCCCCAAGTGAGAAGCTGTAAATGAAGGACTTACAGCAGCACCTGGCGAGCGCCCCGGGTGAGCTGGCTGTCCTTGCCACAGGAGCAGGGTGAGTCAGCCGCCTTCCTGTGCCTGTACGCGGATTACGAGAGCGGGGATGTAAAGTGCTTGGCTCAGAAAATGTTAACTCTTATTATTGGCTATTAAGCGTGACAGGGTGAATTATGGGGGAGCGAGTGCTGCGCGTTCTGTCTCTGCGGAGATGAATGCAGACCGAAAGGCCGACTTCTGCGGCTCCCCATTCTGACCGTGTTCCTGGAGGGGCCCTGTGGCTCCCCAGCCCCTGGGGAGGAATCAGAGGAGTGTTGCCGCCTCCCAGGGAGGGGCAGGAGACTTGGGCACCCCCTCAGCTCCTGAGCCTCTGAAGGAGAGGACTTGGGACATCCAGGCTTCTGTTTTCATCCTGGAATTGGCTCAGGAGGTTGTGTGGAGACCCCGTCACCCTCCCCAGGGACCACAGAGGCCACCTGCCCCATTACCCCTAACGGCCCTTCCTCTTCAGCGTGGGCTGCAGCGCCTCTTGCCTGTCTGTCCCCTCATACCCCATCTGGCGGGGCCCAGGTTTCCCCTTGGTTATATGCCAGCTCTCAGGAAGTGACCTGTGGATGTCACGGATGTCATTTGCAGTCCTGGGAGCACCGTGGGAGGCAAAGGTGGCTCTGAGACAGTGGGGCCTTGGAGTCATCCACCCCGGTGTGCAGCTGGCCTGGCACACGAGCCCCGGTGCTGCAGTGGAGCTGTGGACCCCCAGTCCACGCCAGAGGTCCTGACCAGGATCCTAGCGTGGACTGAGTGCGGGGACAGACTGTTAAAAAATTTTATTGATTTTTTATTTATTTATTTTTTTACATAATGGAAAATTCTTTTGGTACATTTTAGATATACACAGTGATCACATTTGTTATGGGGAATTTGCACCTGTACATGGCCTTTCTTGTTTCTTTTATCCCATTCCCTTCTCTGCCCTTCAAACTCTCACCCTGTTTCTTTTGTTTTGTTTTTTTGAGATAGGGTCTGTCTAAGCAGTTCAGGCTGGCTTTGAACTCAACATGTAGGAAAAGTCGTAGCAGTCCTCTGCCTCAGTCTCCCCAGGGCTAAGATTACAGGTGTGTGACAGGTGGCTTGGAGAGGGCTTTAAAAGAGATAGAGCTAACTGGGGTCAGTCGGGGGTCCCTTGTCTGGGGTGACTGGTGCCCCACTTCCAGAGACTTAGAGTCCTTTCTCGCCTCAAGGTGGGGTGGCCAGGGCCTGGAGCAGAGGGGCCTGGGGTACAGCCTGGGCCTGTCCCACTGGCCCAGCCCCTCCTGCCCTCGACTGCCCGGGAAGCCCTGCCCTCGGCCCTGCGTGGTCCTGGTGCTTGTTGTTAGGCCTGCAAACACGCAAGGCTGCACACGGCTCGCTTGTCTCTGGTAATTGGAGTCGGTGCTGTTCTTGCTGGAGACGAAAGGTCACGGCCGTCCGGGGTGCCTTGTGCCGGCCTCCTGCGGCAGCTTCGCTCCAGTTCTGCCTGGCGGGAGATTAACCTTTCCATCCTTGACTTTGATATTTCAGGCCTGGGAGCTTCCAGAAGTTGGACTTTTGTCTGTACGCAGCCCAGTTGTCCGGGTCAGCCCAGACAGCTAACGAGTCCAAGCACAGCCATTCGTACAATGGTTATTTCTTGAGCGCATTCTGCGTGCCAGTGCCGTGCTGCTCAGCGCTGAGTGAGCCCTAAAGCCGCTGCCTCCGTGGCCCAGCCATGGGGTGAGGGGAGCAGGCAGGGCACAGAGACGCTGAGAAATACTCATTTGACAGTGTGACAAGTACCTAGGACAGGACCGTGCAGAGGAGTGGGCTGGACAGGTGAGGTGCAGGCACAGGTGAGCAGGCAGGGACAGCAGGCTGGGGGCTGTGACCTGAAGGATCCTGCACTGCAGCGGCTGCCGGCTGCATGCTGCTCCTGGCAAGGTGGAGGTAGGGTGCTGGGTACTGGGGCACAGCGGCATTCATCCTGCCCTCAGGACCCGCAGGTTCCTGGTGCCAAGGCCTGGCACCAGCTTGCTGCATGTGCAGTCAGACAAACGTGGCTGTCTGGTCACCACTGTGGGTGTGGGGCACGTGCGTCACCTCTCAGGCCTCTGATGCTCTGTGCTGAATGCGTTCTGCGTCCACCCTGAGGCTGGGCAGAGGGGTGGATGGAGAAGTTAATTCAGATGGCTGCGTCCAAGTCCGAATCATCAAGCTTTGCCCCTGCAAGCCCTCCCGAGGCCTGGGCGCTCCTTCTGCCCAGTCTGTGGAGGAGGAACCTACATCCTGGGAGACGTTTCAGGTGAGGGACACTGGCTTCTGCGAGCTCGTGCAGTCTTCTCGGCACCACCACCGAGACAGAGCAGGCGCCCCTGTTCCTCAGCCCTGCATGTTCCGAATTCCTACAGCTGAGCTTCCCTGGATGCCACCCGGGTGGGGCCTTGTAGCCCCCTGCCTTAGCGTCAGCTTGGTCCCCAGGGCCGAGACACTCTCCATGCACCCCTGTCACAGCCTGTTCCTTTTGGTTGTGCATGAACCACAGTTCAGGTTTTCACAGTCACATCTGCGTGCGTCCAGCTCAGCAGATCCCAGGGTGTGCTTGGTGCTTGAAGCGTGTGACTGCCTGACTTAGGCTGATGGGCTTGAGCGGATGTGCAGAGAGCAGGGTGCCCGGCCCAGGCTGGTGCCTCAGCCTCCCTCAGCCTCGCAGTGTCTGGGCTTCTGGTCCTGGTGGAGCCACATGTGGGTCTCAGGTCCACACTGGCTCCTCTGATTTCTCTCCCCTAGTCAAAATGGCATTTTCTAGTATTTAACAGCCAAATTACACATTCTGGCTTTTGAACCAGGTGTGGTGGTACATGCCTATAATCCCAGCACTTGGGAGGCTGAGGCAGGAGGACAGCCGTGAATTTGAGGTCAGCCTGGGCTATGTAGTGAGACCTTGTCTTTAAATACATAAATACATAAACAAATAACAAAACAAAGAATAGTATTTTAAATGAAAACCTGTAGAAATTCTAATCTGGTGTCATTATTTGCTATATTTAAATAAACACGGCCCAGCACAGCCAGACCGTCCTCAGCTCCAGCCTCATGTTCAATCAGAAGCCTTTAAGAAAAAAGCTATCTTCATGTGCCACAGCATAAAAATTAGAGCATCAAGTCTGTAGTTTGCTCATGTCCTGCGCTTGATGTTAACTTTAGTCTCGGAATAAAATTTGCAAGTTAGCGCCGTTCTAATCTGTATCAGGCTGTCACGCGCTGCCTCGGCCTTGCATCCCAGGACCCCGGGCCCGTACCGCTGCGCCTAACAGTAACGTTCCCTCAATGCCTCGAACTCATACCGAACTATGAGCTCCGGGTTACCAAAGAGGATTTATTTTTTGCACCCATTCATTAAGTTTTAGTGTACAAGTTAAGACAAAAACACACCCACGTGCTGTGCAGCACTGCTGGTGACTCCACATGACCACGTGTCACCGATGGGCGTGATCAGAGCAGTGGCTGCCTGGCCGGGCCTGTGGGTTTCACTTTGCCATTCCATGCGGCTGTGGCTCACCAGTGCTTCGCCCCACCCGTGGCCTTCCTTTCTGTCATCTGCCTGGCCCTGCGGATGGCTACTGTGGTGTCCCTGGTGTCCTCTCTAAGGAAGTATCCACAGGCCCTGCAGAGGGATTTCCACCCGATGAGAGTTAAGCCAAGCCTCGGGGAGTTTTGCTGGAGGCTTCAGGAGGCTGGATTCCCGCAAGCAGACTCCTCCAAGGTGGCTCGGGGAAGGGTCTCTTCTGGATTCCCTGTGGGCACAGCTTGGTGGGGAGCACAGGCGGAGATGTGGGCTTAGTGATGGACGGTGGATCCCGGGAGAGGAGGCCCTTGATTGATGTGCAGGAAGGGGAACCGGGAGGGGGCCCGCTTTCCCCTCACCCACCCGTGGCGTGCGCTGTCACCTGCAGGCCAGGCTCACACTTGATATTTTGTTTTGAGGACGCAGCTTTCTGAGTTTGTTGCCAGATGGCTGGAGCCACAGCTGACATGCGCCAGACGGCGGCTCACGAGGGACTGGAAAACGCAGACATCCTCGCGACTGCACGCTTCGGCCTCTGGGTCTGGGTGGAGCTCCCTGACTCTGCCCTGCTGGCCAGAGTGACTCTGTCAGTTGTCCACGGGTGGCTGGATTCTGTCAGGGTGAAGAGCGGGCTGGGGCAGGAACCATGGGAGGAGCCGGGGACCCTCTCGGCATTCTGGACGTGGCCTTGGCCCAAAGGAACTTCCTGCCCGTGGGCCAGTGCTCCCAGATGTATGAGGTGGGCAGGTCCGTCAGCTCCGTGCTTTCTGGTGGATGGGCCAGAGTGTCACTGGACGGAAAGCGGAGTGAGGAGCAAAGATGCTGGGCTGCAGGTCGGTGACACCACTGACATTAGACACCAAATCAGGCCAGGTGGGGAGGACAGTCCAGGGAGGGAGCACCTGGCAAAGGCCCTGGGTGGTGGCATTTGGGAGCTGGGAGAGCATCGTGCAAGCTGGGCACCGGGCGCCCGTGGCACAGGGCGCAGTGTCTGGCATTCTTTCTGGAAGAGGGGCCAAGGGTGGGTGGTTGGCATGGTGGGATGTGCTTCTGACACTGTCTCCACCAACTTTGTGTGTTCTCTGGGAAAATGGTGGCACTGGCCTCAGAGGGCCCATGGGAAGTGGGCCTGGTCTGCCCAGCCCTGAGGCTCACGGTGCCTCTGCCCTCAGCCCACGGAGAGCAGGCTGCCTGATGGAGTGGCCTGGCCCTGGAGACCTGGCACTGGCCTCAGGGACACAGCTGGCATTGCATAGAGCTGAGGGTGGGGGCAGAGGGTGGCAAGGACCCAGAAGGGCCATCGGCCGGCCATGCCCACCTCTGTCCTGGGTCCTCATGTGGGCACGAGGTCAGTCCCTGCTTCCTGTCACTCTGCCTGCCTTTCCTGCAGTCACAGGTCACATGGGCCTGGCAGGGGTCACCCCCACCAGGCTCTGTGGCTGACTACGGGACTGCTGGCCACAGACCTGTGGAGAGGCTGAGTGTATGGGAAGCGGTAGGGTTGTGCTCGAGGCTGCCCAACCTCCACAGGCAAACCTCCAAGATGGATCTTTCTGGGTAGGGTTTGTGTTGTGTGCTTTGACTTCCTAATGTGACACTCTGTACAGAGAGGTTGGGGCATGCGGGGCTCTGTCACCCAGGCTGGGGTGGCCTTCGCTGTCCCCAGCCCCCTCCCTCCCAGAGGCTGTGACGTGGCTGTTCCTGACCTCCGAGAATATCTTGAGGACGGACCCGCCCCGCTTTCTTGGCCCCTGGCATACCTGACGCTTGCCGTTCCTGTACGTCCACGTTGGCTGGGGTCGTAAGAGGAAATGCCCTTACAGCTTGCGCGTCGTCACAGCCACCGCTCAGCAGCGAGCTGGAGTACTGTTTCCGCTTTCACAACTGCCTAGTTCCAAGAACGACTCTAAATGGCTTACTTAAAATGTGTATTTGTATTTCACTAAAATAGCAAATGGTCAAGGCATTAGTGCAAAGGGTACATGGTGGTAGGAAAAGGGCAAACGCAAGTGGAGGGGGAGTGTGCTAGGAGGCAGAGCGGGGGGCAGGCTGGCTGGGCCTGGGCGCTGCCGACGAGGCGGCTGGCCCCTGCACAGGCACAGCTTTGCCTGGACCCGCAGCCGTGGACTCCGGGGTCGAACCACGCAGTGGTGCACAGTTGGCCTGAGGGTTGAGGAATGTCCTTGACCTTGGGGAGGGTGTCCTTGACCTTGAGGATGCCCTTCACACTTACCCATGTGCTGCTCTGAGGAGGCAGAGTAAGGACAGCAGGAGGATTAGGATGCTCCCGTGAGGGATTGCTGTGCCCCACCCAGAGGAGGGGCAGGAGCCCCTGGGAATCCTGCCCTTGGCACTGAAGGCCACTTCCAGGGGCCAGGGTGCCACCTGGATCAGCCCCATCTCCCACCCCTTCCTGGGTTGTGTCCGGTTTTCTGCCAAGGCTGAGCTCCCCTGGGCCTCAGTTTCCCCATCTGAGACTCAGGAGCAGAGGGCCCTCTCTCAGGGCTCCAGGAGGACATGGGCATCCTTAGAGTTCCCAGGGGCTGGACACAGCATGCTACTTGCCTGTGTTGTCATTTGGAGGACTGGGCTCTTGACATAGTATACAAGGTGACTGACCTTAGCCGAGGACCCTCTTGCCACCCAGGCTCCCTGGGTCCTCCCAAGGCTGCAGGCTGAGGTAGAGGTGGGGCTGGGATTCAAACCCAGGCAGTCTGGCTCTAAAGCCGTTCCCTTTCCCCTAAGCCAGGCTGCCTCGGTGGAGGCCCTGGCAAGATGGCTTTGGTCAGCTTCCTTCCCACTGGCCGGCATCTGCGGTGACAGCCAGGTGGCTGCAGGAGCCCAGGGAGCTGCAGGGAAGTGGGAATCCAGAGCTTGGCAGTGGGCAGGTGATGTGCGGAGCCGGAGCTCCCCCTGCACCCCGCAGTGCCCCGAGGCTGGGAGAGGCAGCTGCACATGGCCAGCTATCAGGAGATGATGCAGGACAGTGACTCCTTCCCGCGCTCACTCTCCCAGCAGATTTGAATCACAGCAGATGGCGAGGACCACGTGCCTTGGCTTGCCCTTTATGTCCGCCCCCCGGGCTGGCTTCTGGACACCTTGCCTAGCACACTACACCTGTAACCCTCTTTCCTGGAGCTGTCCCCTCCCCTTCCCCCAAACCAAGCTTGAGTTCAGTTTGCTTTTTTTTTCTTTTTCTTTTGCAGTACTGGGGATTGAACCCAGGGCCTGCATACTAAGCTACTTTCCCAGCTTTATTTTTATTTTTATTTTGAGACAAGGTCTCCATAAGTTGCCCAGGCTGGGTTCAAACCTTTGGTTCTCCTGCCTCAGCCTCCATTGTGCTGGGGTCACAGGTGTGCACCACCACGCCCTGCTGAGTTCTGCTTGCTTTTCAAGGCAGGCTTAAGTCAGGGCTCTGGGGAGGGTGGAGGAGACACAGAGCTTGTCCTGGACGAGAGGTGCAAGAGCGCTTTGTTACCTTCCTAGGCTGCACAAGCGTCCCCTGTGTGGTACTGCAGGGTGTGGCTGGGCACACGTGCTGGTGTCGCTCCTGGGTTGATTTAGGCTTGGGAGAGCTGTTGGCCTGGGTGGAGAGATTTGGTCCCCACCCCTTGGAGACTGCAGAGCCCAGGACTGAGCTGTCACTGGGGTACTGAGTGTGATGCTGGGTGAAGCGTGGTGCTAGACAAGGCGTGCTGCCCTTGGCCCCTCTTGGTACCTCAGGGTGGATACGGGTGGTACATCACACACACGAGCAGGCACAGGAGGTCGGGAAAGGGTGGGGGCGTCAGGCCTGGGTGAGTCCAGCACTGGCCCTCCGGTCGCCTACTCCACCTGCAGGACCACAGTGAGCCCCTCCGGGTGTGGCTCAGGGCCATCTTGGATTACCTTCACATGATGGGCCCGGGGTGTGTGTAAGTGAGCCTGGTTAAGGCAAGCACCCCACGCTGTGCTCTCTGGAAGGAGACTCTGGGCAACCCACTGGCTTGACGCATGTGCAGGGTGCTGGGGGTCTCTGGGGGCGTGCATGCACTGGGCTTCTCTTCGAGGTAGTGAGCCTGCTGTCCCTGGGTGCATGTGAGGCAAACTTTTTTTTCCCCTTTTTGAGATAGGATCTTGCTATGCAGTTCAGGCTGGCCATGAACTCATTTTGTAGCCCAGGCTGGCCTTGAACTCAATCCTCCTGCCTCAGTCTCCAAGTGCTGGGATGACAGGTGTGCACCACCATGCCTGGCTTGATGGTGAACCTTTTAGAGCTTTCAGTGACAACAAACAGGCACTGTGGTCATGGTTCCACTGCCTTGGGCAGCTCTCTCAAGGTACAGCTCCTCAGATGGCAGCGTGGCCCTCAAGTCTCCCTGTAGTCTGAGCCCTGGGGCTTTGCCCTGGGCCGTCTTGTCCTGCTTCACTCTGCACAGGGCCAGGGCCCTTGTGCTGTAACGTTTCTGACTGTGCACTGGAGCTGGGAAACGGGGTGTAGCCCTGGGCTACTCTGTCCGGGGATCCCTGAGTCCTGGGCCCTGAAACTTTGGAGCCAGATGCCTGCAGTCACCCTGTGTGTCCTTCTGGTCACCACGGCTCCCCCTGCCCCAGGTGTGACTCTTTATGTGGGACATGAAGCACAGCCCCAAGCAAAAAGACCAGGAGCCCTAAGTGGAGAGACCTGGGCCTCCCGTGGTGGACACTTCTGCCCAGCATAGATGGCACTGGCAGCTTGGGCATGCACCCTGGACCTGGTCCACATCTCCAGGACCTGTGATCAACCATGACTCCTTGTACTTGGGCTCACAGAGGAGAAACTGAGGCACAGGGGAGCAGGGAGCAAGCCTGGCACATGTGCTGCCTTTGCTGATTCAGAAGCCCCCAGGGAGGG